GTCATCATCCATAACAGGTAAATTTATTTGCCTGTCTTCCTACATGTCAGTTTGTTGTCGTCATTGTTGCTGCCCATGTCAAAATCACTGCAACTATCACTGTTGTCATGGTATCATGATGAGGCCTTCTCGACAGCGGGTCGAGGTGGCTTGAGCCCAGGTGCGCCAAGGACCTGGGGAAGTTGAGCAGGGCTTCTCCGAATTTTGGCAGGGACTGAGAGCTATGCGTCAGCTTCGCGGTATGTAGTCGACCGCCAAATGCCCGGTTGGAAGAGCTGAGCTGACTGGCCAGGTAACGGGCGATGGCCTATGGACAGGCGCCAGGGCTTGGTGTCACAAGGATATCCTTAGGAGGCGTTCGGGCCCTTCGGGCTTTGGAGTGTTTGGAAGTTGGAAGTCAAAGGTTCGGCACATCGCAAAGCTCGTGCAAATGCCGTCGAACCGAGAACTCGTGGCAAAACCCTTGCTTTGTGTCAGTGCACGACTTTCCGGCAAGCTGTCCACGAAGGGGAAACTTCGTCCGTTTTCCAAACAGTTTGCACGGACTCTCTGCGGTCTGTAGGACCGTAGGACGGAGAAAGACACCTGTGACCGTCTTTTTTGCCTGAAGGCCCCCCGCGATAAGCAATGGCTGGGTGCCCAGAGACGCGGAGCTGAACCTCTTCAGCCGAAACAGCAGGCGTAACAACCGTGGTGATACCAGTCGTACCACTAGCAGTGCCATGCAGTGCCCATCAGTCTCAGGGACATGAAACCTGCACCACGGGCTCCAAGAACGGTGGCGTCCGAGATGTCTTGCCGAGAGTTTGGCAGACTTCTGCACACGGCAAAAAGCTGCTACTCGCTCTTCTGAGGCCAGCCGGATACCGGTAATGGACTCGACAGGCCGCTTCACCCCTTCGGATGACTCCGATTCCAAGTAGTAATAGAACCACTAGATTGCTGCGACTACTTTGTTGTCGTAGTGGTGGTCGTTGTCGTCGTGGTGGTCGTCGTGACTAGTAGCACTGGTAGTAAGTACTTCCAGTATCAGTAGGATTTCAAGTACTAGTACTAGTTGCCACCAATACCAGTAGTGGTGGTGGTGGTGGTGGTGGTGGTGGTGGTGCTGCTGCTACCAGTTCCACATGCTATACCAATGCTACCGATAGAGCTATTGTTGCAAACATGCAGGCATGCGCATCGTTGGTATGTTTCCGGTCTGTCTGTATGCCTGCCTGCCTGCCTGCCTGCCTGCCTGCCTGAGCATGCGTGTGCGTGACGTGTGCGTCTGCACGCTCGCGCGCGTGTGCATGCATGCACTCATGTACGTCCAAACATGCACACACACACA